ACTCGATATTGCACAAGTAGTGGAAAATTAGATGTAATGGCTCTTCATTCATAAAAATGCTTATATTGTAGTGTTAGATACGAAATTATATAGAATCTATGTATATTGTATGTATATTTCGAAAGGAACATAAATAAAATATAGGTGTATTGTATATTCAGTTGTTGTATTTTGATTTTGAATTGGAAATAAATTTTTATGATTATTGTTTTGGTTTTACTGAAGTATTATAGAGGTAATATCCGCCGCTGTTGTTCATGAATAAGGGTCCCGGTATGTCTTGAAACTAGTAGAGTATTTCGAATTGTTTACGTGAGTAAGCCGTGTTCTTATTATTATTATTCTCTGCATGTATCTATGTATGTACCTCTATATATGTAAGTATGTATGTGTAGTGTGAAATGTTGCAGGGAAATAATTATTATACCTCTATAAACTACTTTCAAAAACCGCCTTCAAGCCCGTCTTCTTTGAAAGTCTGTTAATTAAGTTAAAAAGTTCTGCTGAGTGTGACAAACACTTTTATGAATATCGAATCAAAATCAGTTCAGCCAATCGCGACATAATCACGCATAGACATACAAACATACAGGTCAAATTGAGAACCTCCATCTTTTATTAAAGTAGGTTAACAAAGCAGATATATTATTTTCAATCGATTGAGATGATGTATAATAATTGTATACAAGTAGTTCATATTACCATCCCAAGGGAAAAAGAAATCTCAGAAAGCAACATCATTTCATAAATTTTGTAAAATGAACTTAGTATCGTACTGTACTTTTAACATGTAAATCCGTTTTTGCCTAGCTAGCACAATAGATACTGGCAGTTTCAGTCCGTAGCGATATTTAAAAATATTTCTAAAACATTCCCGATAGGTATTAAAGTCGAAACTGTGGTAACAGTCATTTTACACAGAATCGTATATTTTTTCGTCATGTTACTACTGCCTACTGGTCAGGTGGTACTAGGGAAAAATTAAAACCGTGTATAAAAAATATTACCTCACAGAAACAAATAAATGGACGCTGGCCAAACAATTTTCACGATAAAAATTGAGAATTTCATTTTTGGTATGTCTGTACTGACTTACGATGTTCTTTTAACCGTAGATCCACAGATATACATAGATACAATTATTTTATGATTCTTTTGTATTTATAACGTTTAAGGGTTTGTCTCGGAGCGTAGGAGTGGATTACACATGCGTATTTGTGTCTATGAAATTTATAGAGATGAATAAAAATGAAGTGTCTGTGGTTGTAATCTTTACTAATATTATAAAAAGGAAAGATTTGTACCTATTTTTGTATGTTTGTATGTTTGTAATGAATAGACTCAAAAAGTACTGGGCCGAGTTAAAAAATTAATTCACCAATAGAATGCTACATTCTTTCAATTTGACATATAGGTTACATTTCATTTTGAAAAAAAATAGGGATCCTTGGTAAAATTTGAACAATGTAACCAAAGGTGTAGAAAAATGAGTCTTAAAATGTCTTTCGTCGAATGCGCTGCCGAAACTATTAGCGATAGAACAAAATAATGTACAACAATATTAATGTCTACAAAAAAATCCGCGGCAGCATATGTCCAACTATTGTAGTTATGTCACTACAATAATCCAATTTCCAAAAATAAATAATTGTGTACGGGACGGGCTGCTAGTATTAAATATTTTTTACAATTTTTTCGGTCTGGCTGTCTGTTTATATTCAATAATTTCTGGTATAACTGGATCGATTTTGCAAGACCTTTAGTGGCATGTAGCTGATGTAGGTACTAAGGAGTAATAGGCATTTTTATTTTTGAAAATTGAAACAACAGCAACTATCTGGTAGTCATTGTGGAGGCCTATGTTCAGCAGGTTTATTTTCTTCTTCTAATACCTTCTGATTCACTTCGTTGCGGGAACCAAGACAGTTACTCATGTCCCTGAGACGCGCCGGACTCCAGTGTTCTGGTGTTTTCATGGTTGTATCTACTGTAGATCTTGGCTTACAGGAATTGCAGCGGTTTTGGGAGGTTTTGGCGGGCTTGTCCCTTTCAAAAAATATTTATTTTTAAGGGGGGAAAATCATCGAATGGCTTCTCCCGCCTGGGTGAGGCAGGGGGGAGTGTCAGACACTTACTGACTAAAAACCACCCCGTTACTTGTCCTGCACGTCGTGCCGGAGCCCCGGTAACCCGTTAGGTTTTCCGCGACCTATGTTCAGCAGTAGACGTCCTGTGGTTGATATGATGATGATGATGATTAAACAACAGAAAGTTATGTTTTAAAATTCATATTCTACGAGGACGAATTCGCGGGCAATAGCTAGTCTTACATATAATCCCACTATTAAATCAAATAGTGAACAAAACGTGGGTTGTTATCCATGTCAAACCACCGCCCTAACATTATTTGGAAATCTACTGAAGACTTCAAAATAAAATAATTGGATGTAATTTATTCATCTGCAAGCTTATCTACCATTGCTATTAAACGAAGAATAAAACAGTAAGTTGCTAATATCTACACGTATTATAAAAATTGTAAAAAATCTATGGAAAGTAAAATTTAAATTAGTTTTAATAATTGCGTTTTGAGTCTGTTACAGTTTTGGCGCGCTTCCGTCAACGCGCGATACATCACTCACGCTCAGTTCACAGATGTCGTTCGTATCCACATGTAAACTATTCTAAAATAAAACATTATCTTCTAAGAAATTCTGCGTCAAGTCACCCTGTCTCCCGTTCACAACGTTAATCATCTACTACTATAAATAGTCAAAAGAAAAAATACCATAGAATATAGCAATCATATTCATAGAAATAATCTTTTAGGTTAACATAATATGTCTATTACAGGATTTGTTGTATTTAAATTGATTAGAAATTAATTTTAATTTCACATAATTGATCGAAGGAAATAACTCTAAACATTGATTTACAATTGAAAATATTCTACCTATACTAATATTTGGGCTGGAATTTGGGAATTCGAGCATATCATGATAATTTTGTAACTGTTAATTTATGTCAAAATTGATGAAATTCATTATTATCCTACAATCTGCTATCGACCTAATCAACATTTTAATCAGTCTGTCATCAATTTATTTATGATAATTCCTGTGGACTTTGGTATAATCGAGTAGCTGGCACAGTCCTGATTGTGTTGCCTGTGGTTAGTTTCAAATCACTAGATCACATACGACACAAAATAGACCACATTATTGCCAGTAAAATACGCGTGAAACAATAATAAATTACTTTCATGAAGTGTTACGAAATTGAAAGTTTATTTTTAACCGACTTCACAAAAAGGAGGTGTTTTGACCTGTATTTATGTATTTATGTATGTATGTATGTGCGCTGACCGATTTTGATGCGGTTTTCAGAACTGTATTTGTTACACTTAGGAAAAGTAGTATATTAATTAAACGACTACAAAAAACAAGGGATTGAAGTCGGTTCTTAAACGTAGATATTAAAAGAGTTATCTTTGATATTGACATTTATGTTTCTACCTCTAGGACTTTTCTTCTTCGAATGCAATGTTTGGCACAGAATGTATGTATGTATAATGTACATTCATGTATTTAGGGTAAAGGGTATTTTTCACGGCCAATATTGCTCAGCTGTGGATAACCATTTATTTAGTGTTGGACATTTATTTTATTATTGTCCACTTTATAGGTCCGTGTTTTGTCATCCTGGCACTACAGGGCTGGCTGTTTGCCATGACGACGAATACTCATAGCGAACACAATAGTCATGCTTTAGAATAAGTACATTTCTATAATTCTGAATACCTTTGCGACTTGATACGATCCTACTTGGAGGAATGAGTTCCTGATTTTGAGTCTGGCATGAAACCGTTTGTACGAATTGCTTTCGATGTTATCAAAACCCTATTCATCGTGCATCGTCTAGATAGAAATCACGATGCGAGCTTTACCATCCAAAATAAAGCGACTATTTATACTTGTAATAATTTTAAAATACTATATCACCTCACAAATCTGTCGAGTTTCTAAATTTACTGGTTCTAAAGCCATGATTTATCTATTCAAAATAGATACAGGATTAACAGAAAGTTCATAGGTATTATTTCTATTTGCCTGTCAATTTTCTAGTTTCGTGGCTCATCTTAGTTCTTTGTTTAAAACTATGGTAAGAAATATTTTTTTTTTGTAGATGTTGGTAAGATGAATATACATGTAATACATTAGATACCTTTGGGGGAAAACAAACCTCACCTATGTATGTTTCCATTCCCATTATATGACTAAATAAGTAGATCCATCATTCCTTCCAGGAAACATGAGTTATAAGTTCGACTTTACTCTAGGGATGTGTTCAGTATAATAGAAGTATTGCAGTACATTTTTGCATATTTCGTAAAACTTCGTTGTGTTTAGTACAAGAAAATCGTAGTTTGTAATCCCTGAAAGGCTTCCAGGGGGAATAATATTTCATGTTTCCTACAATACTGGGATAATAAAATATTCACTTGGTAAAGTTGCAACGAATCTTCCCACGATATTTGCGTCGCATCTGTGCGTGGATCCGATTTGTACGGACGTTTGCTTGCTCAGGTTCTTGGATTTATATTTTGTGAGATTTCTCGCTGGAAAGTTGAAAAGATGAATATACATACTGTAACACCCAGTATATGATTTGACAAGTGATTTACGAATATAATCCATTTACTAGCATAATTAGTGGCAGAATCAAATGTTCGGAAATTAATTAACCCAGCCACGTTTTTAAAATAAAATAAAGATATTTGTACCAATTGTTTATTATAACTTAGTGTTAAAAAATTCTCTCCACTTTCCTGCTCATAGCAATTTGGCATTTTAAAAGCTAGCTAGCTTTAAAAGAGCTTGACATACAAAAGTTTAATCACGCATTTTGTTGAATCAATCCCATTTATTTATTTTCATATGCACTTAATTCAACTATTGTTAATGCCATTCGTCTAGGGCACTTATATTATAAAATTCCATAAAAAAATATTTCTCTGTTCTACTCAACGTCATTATCACTATGTTTGTCTTCATGACTAACTTTAATACCATTGTGGCGTCTCGTTTTTCTTCGAGACTTCCATGGTGGTCGTTCGTAGTTTTCCAGCATCTTCTGCATTCGTCTTCTTATCATCTTTTGCTTATGTCTTTCTAGCATGTCAGCGTAAGCATCAGAGAATGGCATTATGTTGACTCCACCGTCTGGACTTACTACACCTGGTATTCCAGGAATCATACCTATTCCTCTATGTGGCATTGGATAGGGTGCAGGATAGGGCGGTGGATAAGGTGCTGGATACGACGATAGGTAAGGACCTGGATATGGTGACATAGGTGGTTGGAAAGGAGTTGGTGGGAAAGCTGGTTGGAAGCCTGGTTGGAAGGCTGGTTGAAACGGCGGAAGAAAAGTTGAACCGAAAGGAGGAGAGTAAGGTGCCGGGTAAGGTGCTGGAGGAGGATAGGGCACGGGTAGGGGTGCTGGTAATGGAGGTGGTAGAGGTATTCCAGCGACTGGCACCATCGGGTTTGTTGGAGCAAGAGGAATACCGAATGGTAAAGGCATTGGTAGAGGCATGATTGGATGAGGAACAGCAATAGGCGGTGGAGGATCGCATGGCATCATTGGGGGCATAACTGGAGGAGGAAGGACAGGCACTGGTATTGGTACAGGAGGTGGCAAGGGTACCGGTATTGGGATAGGAATAGGCTTACCAGACCCGCTATTAGTTGGAGGAGTTGACATTTTCCGGTAGTTACAATATTCTGGGATAGCTTTCGGGTACCAATAGAGAGGGTTGCAGGGATCTTCGCCGGTTTTCGTTTCATTTCGCCGGGGTATGGAAAAAGTTCCGTCAATTGAGCATTTTATTCCTTCTAGCGACAGAGCTATGATAAGGAACTGCAACAAAAAGTATAATATTCAAACTAAATTTATGTACTTTGGGTTCAACTACATCCTTAAATACATAGAAATATAGAATATCTTCACGTGTTTGGGTACTGAGTAGTGAGTATAGGTATAACCGATGTTTGTCACTTCTTAATTACAATTATTACATAGGATTCAACACTTTGGGGATATTAAGATTCGGTTTTAAGTACAGGGTATTTATGATTTAGTCATTCACCTCATTTTAGAAGTACATAATTATCATGTTGAAGATAGCTGTACCGTCCTCCATGACGTAGGACTTACAATCAATAAGTGCTTTGTGTCCTTTCAGTAAAACGAAAAATTATTTTAATGACACATTATATTATTATCACATCTTCACTAGTCCAGACAGGTTCCAAATTTTACACAACTCTGTTTCAAACTTACCTTTAATTTTGTGATGGCTTTTATGTGGAACATTGTGTTAATCCTGTCAGCTGGAAACTGAAGTGGTTTGTTCGAACGTGGAGGTTTATAAACATTCTGAGAGATTTTACCAAACAATGAAAAGAATTCAACGTAGTCAACGAAATCTTACTTTGAGACTACAATACTAGAACATGTTTATTTGCTTTTATTTTAAATCTGATAGTTACACCTGCTTTTCCAAATGGCGAGTGCCTTAATGGACAATACGCGGAGACGTGACTTGAATTTTTGTCTGATAGTATATTCGGAAATCCTTTTGAAGTACCTAAACTCTAGAGTAGCATTCTTGTTTAGTTATGACTAAGTATTAGACTGGAGAGATTTTTTGAAAATTACAAACGAAAATATCAAAGTTTGAAATGCAGGTATCCAGCTTCAAAACAACGCTTAAATCAACAGGCTAGCATTGTCGAAAAATTATTATGTATAAAGGTCCTCACGTCCTATTTACGTGTAATGTAACATTATAGATTCGACTTTGAGCATTACATTACAATAATACTTCCCTGACTTATGAGTATTTGCGTGTAATGTAACATATTGATTCGACTTTGAGCATCATTTCATAGCAAGATGTCAGACGAAGCGGGCGGGCGGGGGGCTGGGGGAAGTGCAGCGCATTGATGTTGCAAGTTGTATCAAGATATTACACATTGTATCATTACAAGGTGCGCATTGTAATGCTTGGTTCTCCTCTTTCACTGATGTAATGCTCAGATCAGTAACGTTACATTACACGCGAATGCTCGCAGTGAGGGAGCACCTTAAGCTTGAACTTGTGAGTTGGGTCTGTAAGCTACAACCAGTTTCCACGATAGAAGCATCAATGAATCTAGTACCTTACAAAGTACAAGTGGTTTGAAGTTTATTCAGTCAAAATATTCTACCCTTTTCGTCAATAGAGCAGTCGCAACCATTACCATCATCATCATCACCATCATCACCATCATTATCACCATCATCATCACCATCATCACCATCACCATCACCATTATCATCATCATCATCATCACCACCATCATCATCACCATCACCATCACCATCACCATCACCATCACCATCACCATCACCATCACCATCATCATCATTATCATCATCATCATCATCATCATCATGATCATCATCGTCATGATCATCATCGTCATCTAGAGCACGTTCACTGCTGAATAAATGCCCCCCCTTTACTTGTCGGTTGAGGGCTTGATCCCTGACTGAAGCTATGGATGCCTAGCTGGTTGCTGGGCTTCGTATCGCAGGAACGAAGCTGTTTTTAGTTTTTGCCCCCTCAAAATAGAAAGGGTCCGATTCCTTGTGATACTGTGTGAGGTACTGCCCAGACAGTCGTTGGTATTTTTGGTACTAGCTAGAATTTAGAATGGAACCCAGTGTATAAATTTAATCTGCGCCTTTAACTATGTAGATTATGTATAATGAATGAATAAGCATGTACCTGAAAGTAAAACTAGAATTGACAAAATCGTGATGCATTTATTTATAAAAAATTTAAAGGAATTTCCAATTTTTTAAATTTAATACAGTTATTACGTTACCTCGTTTCATTTTATTTTTACTGTCTTTTTGGTTTTTATTCTTATTGCCTGTTTTGTGTGCATCGTCTAGCTCGTCATCACCGTCTTTGTCGAGGTTATTTTGGCTACGGTAGTAATTCTTATAAACTTTAAGGTACTCTTCTTGTCTCTTCTGCTGAGCTTCCATATAAGCTGCAGCAATTGCCTTGATCATGTTTTCAGTTTTTTGTGATATAGCCTGGTAATCATACAACCGAACAGGCTTCTTGCTTGGAATTACTGTAACAATTGCAAACCTTGCATCTTGGATTTGGTACCTCTAACTAATAGTGATAGTATTTTTAAGAGGATATTTTTATACTTTTTGGGATTCTTCCCTAGTTTTTTGTTTTAAGGGGGGGAAAATCATCGAATTTCCTGACTAAAAACCACCCTGTTCCTTCTCCCGCACGTCGAGCCGGAGGCCCGGTAACCCGTTAGTTTCTCCGCGACATTCTTCCCTACTGAGATGTCTATATATTTATGATGTATGAGTTTGACTTATATTATAATGTAGAAAACCCCAAATAAAACTTAATTTAAAATGAATGGTTGTAAATAAAATTAACAAATTTTTTTATTAGTTTTTATTAGGATTGAACTATGTTATTGCGATTGTCATTTGATATTTTTTTGAATAGCCCTGAATCGTTGGTTTCTATTTCTGTGATCATGTATCCTCGTTTAATTTTCAACTTCTGCATGTTATCCTTTTTTAGTAGTCCTTGCTTTTTCCTTTTGTCTTTCTTATTGTTTTTCTTTTTCTTGCTCTTATTATTTTTTCTTTTATTTCCAGTACCATTTATGGCACTATCGTAAAAATACCATTGAGGTTTATAACTGTCAGCTATAGCCGAGTAAAATTCATCGTGACTTTGTTGGAGGATTTTGAAGTAAATTTCTGCAGCAGCTCTAATCATTTTTTCACCTTTCTCTGAGATATTTTGACGAAACATTATTATTGGCATCTGCATTGCTGTAACAATTTTATAACATGTAGGCTACGTTCCTTATTAGGTACGTTGAAATTTTCAACGTCCTTGTTTGTTATCCAAAGATACAATTTTCAAAGAGATTTTATTGAGATTTTAAAACAAGGTTTGATTGATGAATAGTAAATATGCAGGTGTCTGTAAGTACGGACCTCGGTGTACCCTAAAACTACAATTACACGGGATGGGCAACAGGATTTGGTAAATATTTGGCCAAGCCCATGCTCTCAGCAAGGAGTTAGGATGGGGCCCAACAGGGCCGATGCCGATTCGGAGTCGCGGAGAACCTAACGGGTTACCGGGGCTCCAGCTCGACGTGCAGGAGAAGGAACGGGGTGGTTTTTAGTCAGTAAGATTCTGACACTCCCTCCCGCCTCACCCAGGCGGGAGCAGTCATTCGATGATTTTCCCCCGTTAAAAAAAGTGCATCCAAGTTTTAGGATACAAGTTGGGGTTCTATCAAAAGAAAATCTTTTGTTCAACACAATTAATACATTCTTAGAATAAAAATTCCTCAAAATAGCATCGTAATTAATATGATAGCAGGAAATGGGAAGAAATTACACAAAGGATGATTTAATAGGACTGCCTCGTTGACCGAGTGGTCGCAAGGGCGATTTCCGGGCAAGGGGTCTCGGATTCGATTTCCGCGTCGGGCAAAGATTTACAGAGTATTAAAATAATTTCAGTTGTAGCGCGGAGTTTGGAATTGTGCCCGGTATATGGCACTAGGCTCACCTCCGATTACATGCGATTTATAATATAAATAGTGAGTAGTGGGTGTTGCATTTCACAGTGGGATTAGGTGCAGTAGTGTGCACCTCTGCCTACCCGTTTGGGGTTAAAAGCGTGATATTATACGTGTTAAATCAATAAAATAAACATATTAATCACAGTCAGAGATATAAATTATAACTACCACTTTATTCTTATTAAGTTAGCCATAAAATGATCGCAATAATAAAAACTTAATAAATACGTAGTTTATGTATTGATATATGGACCGAGATCAAAGCAAAGGGCTGTCTTTATTCATCATGTCTACGTTTCTCGTTTCTATTATAGTAACTACTCCTCCGTGCTTAGTTTTCAGTTTATAAACTTTATTTTTCTTTTCTTTTTCCTCTTTCCTTTTCTCTTTTTCTTTTTTCTTGTCTTTTTTACTGTCTTTCTTTGCTTTTTCTTCTTTAGTCTTATTTTTAGCACTGTCATATACGTATATTTGAGGTTCTGATGGATAATTATCAAACGCTGAATAATATTCATCATATTTCTCTTTAGTAGCCTTGACGTAAGCTTCGGCTAATTCTCGAATCAGGTTCACACTCTTCTGGGAGATAGCTTGTTTGTATAATGCGACGGGGCCCAAACTTGGCATGACAGTTACGGTCGGAGAGCTCGGGTCTTTCTTAATATCTTCTTTCAGGAGCTTCATCAGTTGCTCATACGGACTCAAAGGCGACGGCTTCGTGTATGGTGGACTGAACGACTCGTATTCTGCGCTAGTAATTTGGTACATTGGATATGGAAATTGATACAATTGTTCAGGGTAATTGAGTTGCGGATGGTGATGTTGATTTTCTGAGAAATATGAACTGGGACCATGTCCATGTTTGCCTTCGTTTCCTTCACTACCTTCCTTTCCACCCTTTTCTCTCTCCCTCGCGATTCTGATAGGAGTTTTACTCGCTAATCTGGAACGTATTAATTTCTCGAAAATTTCTACGCAGTAAGGAGGTAAATGTAGCGGATGCCAGTAGAACGGATTACATTCATTAACGTCTCTGTATCTCTCCTCGAAATCGAAGTTGTCCATGTAAGTGACACCGGTGATTGATGGCGACGTTATTACTATGATCTCGTACTGTACCAATACTTGCATCATCCATTTTAGCTGGAAATGTAAATTATGGTTAATGCATGCAATGGGGTAGTTGCTAGGGTATCAAAATTAAAAATCTAATTATTAGACACGTATTTTTTATTTTCTCGTATTAAGTTGCAATACTTAGATAAAATGGTGCTAAGTTTAAGAGTGGGAGGTCGTTACGTCATAGCGTGCTACAAATAGAGGCACGCTGTGACGTCACACGATATTTCAAATTAATAGGTATATCGTCGAAAGTATTTATTTTTTTTTGCGAAAAGAAAAAATATGTGTTTATAGTTTTAAATGAATGTACCAGACGGACATTAAAATAAAATTTAGGAAACTACCGTATTGGTGATAACTCGTAGGTACACTCTATACCAGTTATAAAACAATTTGGAATTTCCTGACTCACCCAGAACAATGTCTTTTTACAAAAGTAGTGTTATACTTAATTAATCTTTGCCAAATAAAACATATCAAGCAATGTTCATACTACATAGTGACGCATATACAATATATATACTAATTAGCGAAGATTTAAGTAAATGATATAATTATGATGGAAGCGGTGTAATGCCTGAGTAGGTCAGAACACCTCCATGGAGTAACGTAAATAGATTATTAAAACGTTTATTAATTAGTATCTCGCTCCATATCATTATCTGGTGGAAAATACAAATATGCGGGATTCGTGAACTGATTTCGCATTCGTGGTACATCCATGCCAATATGTAGGCGTAACGTATTTATAATGTGCTCTATGATAATAATATTAATATTAATTAAATTGCAAATAATTCTTGATACCACTCATTACAATGTTGTCAACTCGTAATTACATGAAATGTTGGATGGTATATCATGAAAGACGTGAATTCAATGATGTATTGAATCCGTTGATTGTAAAGTTTCGTGTAAATATCTAGAAAAGAATTAGTCACCATGTTCTTCACCTAGTTTCTTGTCTCTTTAACAGTTTACTTCGTCACTTGTAGTCACTTCTGCTCAGATACTCCCCGACATTATTCTTTGTGTTTGCTTTTAAACGTCAACTTCTTTCATTCGCACTTTATTGGCACCTAATTATGGCATTGTTCTATTTTTTTTCTAATAGTTTGTCGACGACAAATTCTATTGTATCGCCACCTGCATAGTTACGCAACGTTGCATTATTTGCAGTACTTTCAACAAATAATTCGTTTTCCCCAAATAAAACTACTTACATAAATAATATTTTATTTTATTTGTTATCGTTATCCCAAAAATCCTCCTATTTGCATTTTTTCCAGTTGCTCTTGTATGTTTTGTTTTTGATTTTGATTCGGATATTTAAATAGTTTAATTATAACTGGTTGTATCATAATAGGCGCTTGAGCACAACCAACTGAAACAAACAATTTCGCGTTTTAAAATCACTTAGTCGCAACTGCTGCTAGTTCTCTAGTTTTTATAAATACACACGACAATTTAACTATAGTGCGGTCTAGCCCTAACAGCCGTAATTAAAAATCGACCTTAATCCAAAACTTCTGAGTCTATTTCTGTTTTTGACAAAACACCATACGAATAATGTCAAACATCGTTCTTAATCGCCAGCTCCTTTCAGCCATAAGACTACATTTCACGAAGTTCTAAGAAAAATCGGTATTGCATATGACCCAAATAAATAAAATAACCCGAAGATTCGTCTTTTAAGGCCATTTTGTATAACCTATCTATCTGTAGATTTGCTTACTGAGATAGAATTTTGACGTCAACTCCAAAATGCTACCTTTTGCAACTAATATGCACTATAGTAAGGTGTAAAATCACAAAAATATATGCTCCTAGCTTCACTGACAGACGGATAATTTAATTAATTAGATACTTTTAAAACAAACGTTTAAAAGTTTCTGATTGACTGATGATGAAATAAATGCTTTGACTTTGATTTTGATGAGGTGTTAAACTTTTTGTTTTACTTAAGTAAAATAATTTAGAGATACCACGCTTTCGATTCCTAATATTATTAGTTTAAAGGATGTCTTTTTACAGTTTCGCTCTATAGAAATAAGTTGTAATTAAAATATTTAGTACCAAAGGTTCATAACTTCAAATTATGTTTTAAGCAAACTCATTAAATATTACTAAATAAAGTTTACATACCTTGATTATTTTTAATTATGTTATCGAGACTAGGAGCTTCGTCTTGACTTGTCGAATAGTGAATAAACGAAAAAACTATCAACATAAAAGTCAGCAGTGTTGTGTGCATGATTGACTAACAAAATATGACGCCATGAAATAAATGTAATATAGTTTTTATATTGCTAACAATAAAATATAATATAATTTGAATAATAATATTTATTTGAAACTACTTCTTATTTTTCTTTTGTTTTTGTGCTTGGAATCTGTTTGCTATTTCTTTGAATTTACTGTCCGTTATGAAAGTAGGCATGTATACATTTTTGGGAGGGCAACAGCAGGCTTCCTCAGGATCATCGGCATTATCCCGCCTGTTTCTGGCGGTCCTCCAGATTCTTCTTCCACTTTTACTGTTATTTCTATTTCGTAGTTCTAATGTTTTCAATTCTTCTTGAATTGAGTTTATTTCTTCCTTTTTTATAACCCCTCGCATATTTAAAAAGTCAGCCATGGCGTGATCGACTTTAAATTCCAAAGAACATTCTGAAAAAAGAATAATATGAAGCTGAAATAATATTGTGTATAACGATATTACTCGTAACGAGAACCATTATAATGTCATGTATAACGATGATATACGTCTGTCTTGCAAGACGATTGGGAATCTAACTTCGTGTTTAGATTAAAATAACGATAGCTGTAGATAGCTGTGTCAACTAAGAGTAAAACATTGTAGTTTTTATAACTGTTTAGCTATGTAGCTACCTATACTTACATATAGCTGACTTGAATGTGGTATGAAGGCCGTGGTTCATAAATCATACTTATTTAACTTAATTTAAGTGCCTGAATGCAGTATCATAATATGGACCCTATTAAGCAGAAAAGATTACTTTTGAGTAAATGAAGTTTAATGTGGGGCTGATAATAAAACCTATTGAATAGGTACTGTGTCATATGATTATTTTAAACTTCACTTACTCAAAAGTAATGAAATGTGGCCTGGATCTTTTCTGCTCAACAGGGTCTATATCATACGTAGTCTAGCCAGACTTATATATTATTTGAGAAATTGCGTGAACAATAATTGTAACGGTAACATACAGAAAAAAATATTAAGCGAAAAAATTTATTAAAATTCGGAAAATAAACTTCTCTGCATCACCCAAAGGTCAGACTGGGAGAAAATGCCTGCGGCATTAAGTCCACCTTATGTACATTTTGTGCATGAAGCTTAAATAAATAAATAAATCTAAACATATAATAGAATTTTAATTATATAATTTACACTTACCATTATGTGGAGGACATTCGCACCCAAATGAAGGGGATTTCACAGGCAAGTTCTCATGTCTTCGGAAGAAATACTGAATAGGTTCCTGTGGCATAGACCAGGACCATTTGTCCCACGGCAATATCACCTGCCAGGATTCCACCACCAAACTCACCAGGCATAGAGCGATGCACACCGACTGCCAACAAAAATAATAATTCACTAATATAATAAAATCTAATTCTAATTTATTTAGCTCATAGCGGCATTGGTGTTTAATAAAACCTCGTTTAATGTTTAACAAAATTTATTGACGAGGTAAAAGTTTGTGATCACCTTGTGTATTTTACATTTAAAAAAATACTATTTCATATTTTTTTTAATTTCTGAAGAAACTATTAGGCTGCAAGCACGCTACGTTCTACAAACGGGTTGGTTGAGTATTTTGATGCAACATGCATTTGTTTCCACTGATATGACGATTTAATGATACGTGATCCTGCTCGAGTCGACAGCTCGTTTGAAAAGAAATGCACCGTGCATATCTTTTATACAATACTGTTCCGTAACTATCATTTGTTTGGATAATCTGATATTCTCTCTATAAACTTTGTAGACTGGAATGTAATATAATATTTTTGGGATCTAGTTAACAAGCAAACCTCAGACTTGAACAACAAACCCATTATGCGCTATTTTGTTGTTTTTAATAAACAACAAAACTGTTACTGTGTTCAATTTCTTGAAGTTGTATATTTTTGACAGTTAAATACTAAATCCAATAAAAGTATGCACTAGTAAGTAAATGCTTTCTGTTGTTGCTCATCACTAAAGTAAGGATGCCCCAGATCATAAAAATTATACTCTGTAACAGGACCAGCCAAATATGACATATCACCATTATCTTGTCTAAGTGCAATAGTACTTGGAGAGTTATCTTCAGGGATACCTAAAGACAATTCTTCAAGTACTATCGCATTTGTGATATCAATAGTTGTTTTTAGAAATTCGCTTTGTCCAGTAGAATATTCTGTGTCATTGGTAGTAATTATAGTTGTATTCTTTTTTGGTTTCTTCTGTTTTATTTTCTTCATACACACGTCAGAAGGAAAGAACGGGCATTGGGGCGCGGGCGGTGTAGTTGTGGTTGGAGCTTCCGTGGTTGTAGTAGTTGTAGTAGTAGTAGTAGTCGTGGTAGTCGTAGTTGTAGTTGGTAGTAAATTCACTTGCACAACGACATCCGGTGTCGTGGTTTGCATTGTCGTCCGCTTTTTGAACGGACCTCCTCCATCATTCGAGTAAAATTTCTCGGCGTCTCTATGGAATATGCGCTGGTAAGCGTCTCGTCCTTTCTTTCCAACAAATAGTGGGAACAGCAACTTGATATTCCCGCCGTTAGTGCCGTTGCACCCGCCTTCACACAATTTATAAGGCGCGGTGAACATTATTATTGCAGGTGGCTTTGCAGGGCCTAAAACGATTTTTTCTCAGAATAGTTAACGTTCAATACTATAGAGCGCCCGTGTCAACGTCTACTGTATACAACTTTACTTACTCTTTCCCTCAGCCATATTTTTGACAATCTTATCACCGTCGGCCGCATTCTTAATATTCTCACTGACTTCTTCAATTACTTCGCGTGTTCGTATTACGTTTCCGACGGCAAAATAAAATGAACTGAAAACAGTAAATACGTTTACGCAGAGACACATACGCATGTTCACCGATTAAGAAACTTGTTAAAATTTATTTACCTTTACTAAGGTAACAGAGTCTGTGGTTACGATTCGACAATATCGCGCTCTGTTTATATGTAACTCAAGTTTTATGTTTGACTTCCTTATTGAAATAGTTTTTAGATAAAGCCATATTAGAAAAGGTCTACCAAAGTATCGGAAGGTATACAATAAATTAGAGTCGCAGGTGAAGGTTGTGCACGTATTTATATATGAGCAAAATTGTAATGTTTATCTCATTTATAAGGAGCAAAGATTGATTCCAAACAAATGCAAGCGCGTGGAACCCATTATCATAAATCTTTGTTGAAAAGGTATCCACCGATATCTGGAGAGCGATTGCATTCAGTTCATTTACCTACAGAGTTAGAGGGAGCTTTACCTACTGTTTCCTTATTGTGATTCATTCCAACAGTGTCGGCCAGCTCTAGAGGGACATTGGGTAATATTTATGTACAACGATTTATAACTGTCACTGGCTCCCAACTCTTTCCAATTGGCGAAAGAGTTCTACACAATTGTTTCGCTGGGCACTGTGTAAAAATAGTCGTCCAAGACACTGGCCTACAGTAAGAAAATGTTAATAATACCTCTCCGGCTGCGACATAACTCATGTGGTTTCAACTCTATACAACTGAGAATTATTTGCTGACATTCGTTACTAGGTAGCAAGGTCAAACAATAACAAACTGAATCCATGTTAAAATGTAATTAGTCACTGTAAGCGAAACAGAAACAGACTCAAAAATAATTGTTTTGTTCTAAATCTTCGGCTTTGCATCTAATTAATCACAGAGCTATTAAGGTGAGGGATGTACGAATGTAACATGCGTATTGCGTAGCAATAGCTATAGGTTGGCTTCAACGTGTCATTGTGGTGGAAACATATTTTTTAAAGGATTGAGTTGTAAAATGAAATTGTCATTAGGCCCTGATTACCTCAACACTGGTCACTGGAGATTAATAATCGAGTCACGAATATGTATGGAGTTTTTTTACAAACAGGTTTCATTACAAATATTCTAACATTGATAAAAATAAACACTGTCAGGGCCGATTTTTCAATAAAATTTACAGTTATTTTTTTTTAAATCGAAGAATTGCAAAATATTCGTACTCTGATAAAATGTAGCTGGCGGTGGAAAAGACAACCCTTAAACAATGAGGCTACAGTTTCGGCGGAGACTAGAAGCGGTGATATATTATGTTACGACACATTGAATTTGATGGGGAAAGCACGGTACTACCGCCTGCCTAAGAATAACGTGCTGCAGTGGTATCGCATGGCACACCCATCAGCGTCACTAAGATGGATTGACAGCCATCTAATTTGTCAACCGCGGGCTGAATTATTCAGGCTCGACAACATGCACGATGTTCACACCTCTACTCCTGTTACGTTTTTTACATAGACGCCATGTAAAGTAGCAATGGGGTTCTTTATTTATACCTTTATTTTCTGTATATCTTACAGATTAAGTATACAGTCGATGTTATTGAATAAAGAAGCTTAAGACTAAGGGACTACTGTCCACTTTGTGTCATTAGAGCTATTTCCCGTACGTACACTTTCGTCAATTGACGAATGCTTGTATCTTGAGTAGAAACAATCTAAATTCTGTCCCCATTGCCGCAGTGTCGTATCAACCGCACGTCATATGAACCTAATAACAAGTATGCAAAATAATGCCTGCGTAATTTGCATGTTGCATGTATTCGTCATAGGACGCAATGTGGATAGTCACCCATACTTATGTGTGCATTATCACTTCACTATTGTACTGCCTTGTGCCTTGTGTGGCACTTACCCGAGGTGTGGAGTCAGGTATTCAATTCGGTAAATGGAATATGTAAGATTTTCCTTTAAAAGTTATTCGATAGTAATTATATCTTATATTATTAACGAAATTGAAATGGTACATTGAACCCTATTCATCATTTATGTTACAAGTCCCTTGTAATGGTACGCCATGATACCGGTCACAATTACAGACTGCAACCTGATAAAATTTCGAAAGTCCCAAAAAATCAGTAATACTTTACCTGATCCGGGGATCGAACTCTTGCCCGACAAGTCGCACTTTACATCACTCGAACGACGAGACAGTCATATAATTAATATTTGAGAAAAATTCTATCGATGAGAACGTCAAAAAAACGTTCAAACAATCTAGAATTTTCGTATGAACATTTTTAAATACTGTTCAGCAATTTAATTATAAAACTGAAGGCCGTTATGTAACATTCTGAATTTCGATAACCCGTCAAAATTTTAACTTTGGGTGTATTTCAATTAAATATTTTACACATTGTTGGACAGTTCCGTTAAAAATCAACTTGCACCTCCTTTCCTGTTGATAAATATTTTAATTAAGCTTTCTGTTACAGACTGCCTTCGTTATGAAACTGGCAAACCGTTACTGACTTTAAAAAAAAACAACAGACGAGATGAACGCCGCTTTCATTGATTGCACGCGTAATTATTAATTGATGAACAATTCACTTCAAAGAGAGTGAACATACATAGAACATAACATACACAGACATAGTGCACATAGAAGTTTTTTATCGGCAAGTCGACTGGGTAGACGCAGTGATAAATGGTACCATCTGAAAACCAGCGTTGTGTGTTTTTCGCCCAAAACAATGTCTCCTTCCAGCCCTTTGATTAGGTTTTTTTTCTTTCTTTCATTGCTTGACAGAATTAAAAGAAAACCGAATTTATAAGACACTAACTGACATCTAGGTATCGATTTAGACCACAAACATCCCTCTCTAAATGACCTAACAACATAGATGTTGTAGAAAGTACACACATAAACACAAGTGCACTGTTCCCTCACTTTCATGATCCGATGGGAGGGCAATCCGACAGCACAAAGAGGTCAGGCGTAGGACCAACAGCTTTACGCGCTTTCCTGATTGAAACAACATTGAATTTCCAGAGCATGGCTTGTTAATGGCATTTTAAACCTATGCAGTTCTAGTACAGGGATTTACCAAACAAACTATTGACTATCTTTTTAGTCTTGTTTATCCCTAGAACTGCTAGGTTGTTAGGCTGCTACTTCATAAAAATATTAGATTGAAAATGATTTTTAAGTAAATTATTATTGATTTGTGCTGGCTCGCGTAAACAAAAGTGCGATGCGAATTCGCAAATCAAAAAATTTGAATTGCGAAATGCTGCGATGCGATTTCGTGCGACAAGGCGTCTCCCAGGATGACTATTCCTTCGACGACCGTCAACGTACAACAACCTAAACGTATTTTAAATTGAAAACTAGATCGTGACATGGATCGTGAAAAGAACTGTGCACTTCTGTTATTGCTTAGAAGATACTGAAAAAGAAACAAAGAGGATTTTGGGAAGATAAGATTTTTGATGCACGATGCGAATCAATTCGCAAGTTCTTGCGATGCGTACAGGGAGTTCGCACATTTTTGCGATGCGACGACGCATCGCAGTTTCGTGTACGATTAATAGTTTTGTGTAGAATTAATCGATAATTAGTTTTCGAATCATCTGTTACTTATAATACAAGTAAAAAATGCACGCGACCTTTCAGGTTATTGGCCTGGTAATGCGGTGTTTAATTTAATATGTAGTCACAAGCATTTCCACCCGTCCCAGTAATTCCATTTGTGATGTTTACATTGTTATTTAATTTTGGCATTGAGAATCAAGTTCAATACCAATAGAATTCAAGTACATCTGTGAATGCCAAGTACTGAACTATGTTTAGACTGCAATCTTAAGTGGCTTAACGATAACACGTCTGACGTCTAACTGTTGAATTCCAGAACACGGGAAAGTACATTGTGTATCATAGTACTATTTTAGTAAAGTACGTATCCATAGTTACATAAACATTTTTATCTCGTTAGTGTTTACGGAAAGAAAAGGAACAAAAATCCAATACTTTTTTATAGGGTAGGGTGGATAACGAACAGACAGATTACTTGACGGTAAGCAGTCAGGGCCCCCATGGAAACCTATAATAACAGAGAACTTATAAGTGCGTTGCCAGCTCCTTGAGTAGGTTTAGAGATTTGAGGAGGTTTGGATCTCCAGTGACGTCATTTACGTGGCGAAACATAACGCAAGCGTTGTAACACGCCGTTTTTCTGTGAGGTCCTGGTATCACTTAACTCGAACAGGCTCATTCATAACTCATCCAAATAAAAACTGTTTTTATTTTAGGTTCATATTACACCTTCAGTTATTAAACTACCAACAAAAATCTAATGTTTTAAATCAAACTTCCTACTCGATTGGGATTTACCCACCGTTTGTTATACAATCAAAATTGGCTTCGTTAAAATCAGATATCGTATCTCAATTTGAACAAATTTTCCACTAACCCATAGTTTACATGTCAGCAGAACAATTTACGTTGGTTGCTAAAATCTGGCTCAAATTAATATTTGTGTTGTTGTCGATGTTTAGTTTAAAGACTAGAAATTTCCGTTATTATACATAATCATTCATGTATGTGTTTTTACCAATTACATATGTGTGTAGAAGTGAAATTATGACTATTTCCAAACTAAGAAACAGAAAGTCCACTAACAAGTACACTGTATGGTTCACGTAAACTATATTATTGTAATTATAAAAAATCAAAATCATTTACATACGTAGCAAAAACTTTACCGAAGAAACTCCAAAGCGTATTATAATTATAGAGGTAATATTTAGATTATCTCGACCAAAGTCATAGCATTTAACCAA